TACTCAGCTTCCATAGATGAAATTTTTGTAAGTGTTTGCTTTACATTTTTCTTAGAAACAACTCCTCGAGACAAGATGAAAATATAGCTGGTCGTAGACTTATGAAATTTGAATCTGAAAAGCCAACAATTTTAAGATCTTCTGATCTTTTAAAATTAAAATTAAAATATCCATCAACCTTAAGAAAATTTGACCTTCTGTAGTCAACATCTAATTCTTTATACTTTGAAGGTACCTCATAACTTTCTTAGTAGCGTTCCAATGATCTGGACTTAGATCATTTAAGTATCGATCCAGCACTCCAATGGTAAAGGCTTATCTGGTTGAGTACAAACCTAAATATACATAAGTCCGCCAACAATAAAAGCATATGATATCTTTCTAATTTCAGCCCTCTTCTTATCATCCTTAAGACACTGTAATTTTAACAATAGTTCACCTTTCTAAATAGGAGTAGGTGAGGGAGAACATGAATCCATTCTGAATTTCTTAAGTACCCAGTTAATATAGGTGGTCTGTGATAAACCAAGAAAGCCACAAGATCTATCGCAATGAATCTGTATTCCAAGAATGAAAGAGGCTTAACATATATCCTTTATAGCAAAATGGCTGGATAATAGGTATTTTATTTCATTGAGAAAATTCATTGAATTACTAGCTAACAACACATCATCTACATAGAGAACAAGAATGCAAAATTATTCCTATCAAACTTCTAATAGGTATACTAATTTGAGACATTCTCAACAAGACTGAGTAAGATGATAACTTCATCAAACTTTAAATACCATTGCCTTGAGGCTTGTTTCAGCCCATAGATAGATCTTCAATCTGCACACTAGATATTCTTTACCAAAAAAATTGTTAAGTTGGATCATGTAGACTTTTTCATACAAGTCGCCATTCAAGAATGCAGTCTTAAAGCCTATTTGATGAAGATTAAGGTCAAAATATGCAACTAAAGCCATTACCACTCTAAAAGCATCTTTAGTGGATACCGGAGAGAATGTCTCTATTTAATTAATACCTTTTTTTTGATTGTAGCCTTTGGCTGCAAGTCTGGCTTTATATCTATCAATTTCACTTATAGCTTCTCATTTTATTTTAAAGACCTACTTGCAACCTATTAGTTTAAAACCCTATGGAAGCTTTACAATGTCCTATATGTGATTGTGATATATAGGGGCAATTTATTCACTCATAACCTCCAACCATTTAGAAGAGTGCATGCTAGAAATACTTGGTAAGATATTGGGTCTAAACTATCAATAGCATTTAAATTAAATTCCTACAAATATACCATGTAATCATCAAGAAATAACAGACTTGCGAACCCTTTGAGATCATCTTAGTTCAACAACTAAATCCTCATCATTCTTTAAAGGTGGTTTATCTTCAGCTTTATCTTGATTCGTGGCATTGTTCCTTTCAACATGAGGTGCTGTCATAATAGAGAAAAATATTAATTTTTTTTACAAATAAGAATATTAATAGCATTTTTTGTATTCTATTAATGGCATTTATATTTTTATAAATAAAAATATATTTTTTGTATTACATTAATGGCATTTATATTTTTACAAAGATATTTTATGTTTTCATAATAATATTGTCTTTTTTGTATGATATTGGGTTTAAACTATTAATAGCATTTGAATCAAATTTTTTTAACAAATAAACCATGTAATCATTAGGAATAGCAGACCTACAAACAACCAAATCCTCATCATCCTTTAAAAGTAGTTTATTTTTAGCTTCATCTTGATCCATGGCATTGTTCCTTTCAACATGAGGTGTCGTCACGATAGGTATATTTAAAGTATTACTTTTATTATGTAAAGTGATATGTCTAGGAATAGAGCTCCCACTATCCAAGACATCTTCAAAGAAATAAGTTTGGCCTGATTCAATAGCCTTGATAGTGAGATTTGGACAATAAAATCTGTACCCATAAGATCCAAAATAATATTCAATAAAGAAACCATTAATAGTTTTAGTATCAAGCTTTATTTGTTATGGATTGTAGGGTTTTACATATGCTTTACAACCCCAAACTTGCATATGATTTAGCGCAAGAGCCCTTTCAAAATACAACTCGTATGAAGTCTATGGAACTGACTTGCTAGGAAATTGATTCAAAATATAAACAAAAATTTTAAGTACATCACCCCACAAGAATTTTGACAGTGAGGAGTGACTAATCATGCTTTTAACCATATCCATGAGAGTATGATTTTGCCTTTCTACAATCTTATTCTGTTATGAAGTGCCAGGCATAATATATTGGGCTTTAATGTCATGCTCTTGAAGGTGTAAAGCAAATGGCTCAAGGTTCCTACTGATCTTAGTAAATCATAAAATTCTCCTCCTCTATTAGATCTCACACATTTGATCAACTTGTTAGATTTTAATTCAATTGCTACCTTGAAGTTCTTAAATGCATTAAGAGACTTGCTCTTTTCACGCAAGAGTTCAATCCATCAATTACAAGAGTAGTCATTTGTGAAGGTAATGAAATATTTGAAACCACCCATAGTTGCAAGTGTAATAGGTCTACAGGTGTCAGTATGAATTAGGTCTAAAATATTTTCAAACCTTTTATGCAATCAACATAAGTCTAAAAAAGTGAGAAATTAAGGCCTTGCAAGACACTTTGCTTGGCCATACATTTTAATCTTTCTTTAGAGATATGACCTAAACAATGATGCCATAATATAAAGGAATTATTATTAAGCCTTTGACCCTCACTATGTCGCTCTGTTTGAGATTGTTTTCTTGCTAACACAATTGATGTTCACTTTGTGCTTGCATAAGATTCAGTACCTACCAACTCTAATCTCATTTCTAACTAAGCCAAAAATAATTTCTACCTGCAAGACTATCCTCAACAATAGATAGTTATAGTTAAAATTCTCTTAACTAGTGTTTTAATTGATGGATTTAAATTTAAATTTTAGGTTTAAAATCTCATACATAAAATTCATGTATTTAAATTTTTTTTTGTTTAGATAGAAGAGACAGATAAGTTGAAATTTGAAGCAAAAATAAAAGATTGGAAGTGAGGAGATTACCTTTATTTTTCAATCAGTGATAAATGAAAATGAGAGATGAGCAAAGATGAGAGAGTAACAAAAAAATATGAAGAAAATAAAAGAGTCAGAGTAGCTGAAATTTTAAATAATTAGGGATTAGAAAGAATTTGAAATTATACAAAAGTTATAATAAAATATGAATTTAGATTTGGATTAGACTTTTAAATGTCTAAATTTGATCCAGATCCAAATCTAAATCAATTCTTATCCATCCAAACCTAGCATTAAAATTGTTTTAGCTTTATGTCAAGAACTTAAAGCTTTCATGCATTCATATATTTCCATTAATTAGCATATGGAGAGAGGGGAAACAATTATGGCTTGTTTGATAATCTATTTTAAGAATAGTTTTTTGTTATTCAGAAAAAATAAATAAATAAAAAATTTGTTTAGTAATGTATTTTTAGAAACTATTTTGAAGAATAAAAAAACTAAATATTGTTATGGAGAATATAAAAATGGAAAAACGTGAAGAAACGCATGTTTTCATTTAAAAAAAAAAACATATTCTACAAAATACCAATTATCATAACAATAAAAAAAAGCTTCAAACAAACCCTTAAGTTCTTCATTTGCATTCAAAATCTAAAAGAATAAAACAAATAAAAGCAATTAATAAATCACATGAAAAATATTATTTATTATTAGCAGTTTACAGAGAAAGAATATGTAGTTGCAACATCATAAAATGCGTAAAATGTTTTTCTTATAAAGGAAAAGTATAATTATTAGTCTATGTACATTTAACATATTTTTGATATTAATTCCTATATTATTTTTTTTTAGCTTTGCCCACTCCTTTAAGTTTCATTTATTTGCAGCGTTTGTTTTTATATTTTTAAATATGATCATAAAAACTTAACGGAAATGCTTTCAAAATCAAACTGGATATTAAACTGAAAAAGCTAACAGTTCATAGTTCATATGGTCTAATCGGGTTGTACCAATAGACGAACTGATGATATAATAATTAAATAAAAATAATATTAAATGTATATATAAAATATATACAAGAAAAAATCTATAGTATGTTGATTATAAGACATAACATGATTGTGAATTAGTAATATTATATAATTTGTCAAATATAGGTAAATCTTGATTAATTAGATATGAGTAGACTCAAAATTATCTATATTTGCATCTATAATTGTCAACATCTTTATGAAAAATAGTCTCAAATTATATTTTATACATGTGAATAATTCAAAAAAAAAAAGTTGGCTTTTGGTATGATCTAATTTGTAAATTTTTCTAGTTTTTAAAAATTTTTAAGCTTTTTTAATATTATATTTAAAATTGTTTAGTTTTCTAAAAACCACTTCAGTTCCTGGTTCAATTTCGATTTCCAATTCAATAGCTACTCAATTTTGGTCTAATCTAGTTCAATCATGAAAATGATTTTTTGATTCAAATTGAGTTGTCAATAGTTTCGATCGACAGTCCAACTTGTCTAACCGTCTAGTTTGGTCTATTTTTTAAATCATTGCTTAGTGGTATCTAAAGTTTAGATAAATTCCATTACTCTTTGTGCTAACATGTTAAAATTATGATAAATTGTTTAAAATATGAGGAGAAGACAAAAACAAAATAAACAAGCAAGCTAGGATGAATCTTTAGAAGGTAAAAAAACATGACAATTAGGGCAAATAAACAGAAGGTAAAAAATCAGTTGCCATTTTGCTTATATAATATCCAATTCATCATAATTTTACTAACATACACATAATTAACATTGCTATGTATTAATTAAATGATTTAACTCTGTGAGTCAACAAAAGGACTACTATTGCATAAAATTTATTCATAAAAGAAAAAAGAGGAAAAGAAGAAAATCCACGAGACCGGTCCGGTCCAGTGAACCGCTTCTGTACTTTTTCCATCCCATTTTGGCCTTCCTCCCACTCGAAAACCTTCTGTGTTCATTTGGTAACAACAACCAGTGCGACTTGAACGGGTTCTCCTTCTCCAATTCATCTTCTTTCTCAGATCTACGGCCAAATCCGATTGAATCCATGGCAACACCTGACCATTTGTTCAATCTTCGCAACAACTTCTACTTGGGTGCCTACCAGGCTGCCATTAACAGCAGCAACGTCAACAATCTCTCCCCAGACGATGCCATCGAGCGAGACTGTCTCGTTCATCGCTGTTACATCGCCCTCGGTCAATTGCAGGTGTCCCATTCCCACTGAATTTCTTTGTTTCTGCAGAATTTTCATGATTTTGCTATCCAATTCCATCCCTGATCTCAAGTTTTCACGCTCAGTTTGTAATCAGCGAGATCGATTCCTCGGCTGCTACTCCTCTTCAGGCAGTGAAATTGTTAGCTCAATATTTCTCGAGCCCTGAAAACAAGGTTGGGTCTTGGGATCTTGCCTATTTTTTCGTTGAAGTATTAATTCATTTTATGCCCATCCTGAGATTATTGGCTTTCACGTTGGAGATCTCATTTTGATTGTTGTCATGTGCAGGAATCTACGATCTCGAGTCTGAAGGAGTGGTTGGCAGATCCTGCTATTGGGAACAACTCTACTTTGAGATTGATTGCTGGGATCGTGTTCATGCACGAACAGGACTACAATGAAGCCCTTAAGCACACGAATGCTGGGGGCACACTGGAACTGTATGTTTTATCTTTATTTCTTTTATTTATTCTTCATCACTATCTAATTTATGCTCTGTGAGAGAATATGTGTAGTCTCTTCTCTACCGGAGATTTATGTGCCTGTTGCATTTGATTTTTAATGAGCGTTTGAGAGATTGGTATCCTTTCTACTTTTCAAGCTCTGTTTATGATATGATAGTTGTTAAAATAATGCTCCGATCTAGGTTGCTTTAACAAAAGTAATGACTTCGGGCACTTACTATGGTGAAACCTGTTATCATTCATGAGTCATGCCATATTAGTTAAGGACGTCCCTTGCTTTTTCTTCCCCACATCGTAGTCAAACATCATTTTACCTGTTGTGAAGCGAATTCCTGGTAGAACCCACCTTTCAACCTGCCTATATATTTCTCATCACCTTCCTTTGTAGCAGCCTGAGCCGATTCTCTTCTCCTACCTTCTGTAAAGCCTGATACTTTTTCTTATCTACCCTAAAAGGCTTTAAAGAACCACTGATCTATTTAATTACTGATTTTGTAGAACCTCTTACGTAGTGATTACCTTCTTTTATGAATGAAATTCCAACTACAGTATTCTGGGATCAAATTATAATCCAAAAAGTCAGCATTACTACAATTTTTGCCTTCATTTAATATGTTTTCTTCTTACTTAAAAATGCTTCAACTTGTGCTTTTTTACCTACCTATGTCACTATGTGGCTACTAGGGATTAGGAATGCTTGGGTGACAATACAATTTAAAATCTTTTGTTTCTGATGTCAAAAGTAAGAGCTATATTGTGGAAATAATGTGGTAGGCTTCTTTTGAACATTCATTTCTCTTGAAAAGTTATGCCTTTGCCACTGGCCTTCTTCTTGTTGTTTCTTGAACTGAAGCTTTATTATTTAAATAGGCAAACTGTAATATTTTGCTTGTTCTGCTTTTTCTTTACCAAGAAAATTTTATTTTGATTATTTATGCTCATAACTTCTTAATATATGATGCATGTCTCAAGATTTTCATCAAAGAGAGAATGATTTTGCTTGTGCATTGTGAAAGTTTCTCAGGCTGATTGTACTTAATCTGAATTTTCAGGCATGCCCTGAATGTCCAAATATTTATCAAGATGCATAGGTCCGATTATGCTGAGAGGCAACTTAGGGTCATGCAACAGATTGATGAGGATCACACACTAACCCAGCTCGCCAATGCATGGCTAAATTTGGCAGTGGTATGCCTAATTTTGTTATGAGTAACTTGGTTTTTTGTACAATAATATGTAATTTGAATTTGATCTATTTATATATTTACTTCGGCAGAAGGGAACTGAGTAAAACTGATATTATTTCTATTCAATTAGGGTGGCTCCAAGATCCAGGAAGCTTATCTTATCTTCCAAGATTTATCAGAGAGGTATCAATCAACCAGTTTGCTTTTAAATGGTAAGGCTGTTTGCTGCATGCACATGGGGAACTTTGACGAAGCTGAAACCCTATTGGTGGAAGCACTGAACAAGGTATGTTTAAAGTAATCAATAGTTCAATGTTGTTGCTCTTTGAAGAAGTCCTGATATATCAAACTATTTTTTTTAATATTCATTTCTAGATTTGACAAAACACAGCATTGATACAATGCACTCATTTTATTGATTCTATTTTGGATTATTTCTTTGAATTTTAGTATCTCATCAATTTTGGACGGGACTTTCAGGTTTAACTGAATCTCAAATCTCCCACCCTTCTTTTTGTAGATATAGTTATTGAACATGTCAGTTATTTTGAATCAGCATATGATACGACTTTCATTTTAAATCTTGTATGTATTGAAAAAGATTTTGTTTATTTGTGCAGGATGCCAGGGATCCTGAAACTCTTGCCAATCTGGTTGTTTGCTGTCTTCATCTTGGCAAACCATCTTCCAAATCTTTCAGGTGAATATGGGAGCATTTCTTTCATCAACTTCTTATCTCTAAATTGTTATATCTCGAACTGGTAATTGGCCTGGTCTCATAAATTTCAACAAGTCATTTAAACTTCCAGACATACAGATAAAAAATGTATGATAAACCGTTGGTTAAATCTACTTTCTATGTTATTGGACCCAATTTTGTTAGAGCCAGCAGTAACTGGGGTATTTTGTTATACGATCAGTGACCCTTTTGTGTCCCTCCTCTGTTCTCACTTGTATGTTATATCTTTTTATTGGATATCTTGACTTCTGATTGAATTTCTTTCATGATGTCGCACTTGCATCATCAACAAGGTGGCCGGATTTTTTTTTTTTAATTGTTCATGCAAACCTGGTTTTGAAATTCTAAATGAGGTCTTGTGCATTTCATGTGAGTTGTGGCCACTCAGGAATGTGAGATTGGAAATAGTCATGCTAAATGAAATACTTCATTATCTTCACTGGTCACTCGAGTCATCAATTTTGAGTGGTGAATGTGAGGAGAATCATAAAAGGATCTATATAGCTTTTGACATTCTTCAAGGAATTTCAAGTTATTATTCCAAAGAAGCCTAGCTCCTTTATATATTTTTTTGAAACCCTAAATCAGGTCCTGTGCGTTTGGATGAGTCAGGGCCGCCCAAAACATGTGACGTTGGGTCTTGCTAATTGGAATTCTTAAGTTATTTTTAACTGTTTACTTGGGTTAACAATTATGATTAATGGCAGTCTGATAAAAAAGATTTAGGCATTTTGATACTCTTTAAATGATTTTTAAAGGCATCTCTCAGAAGTCTTGTGGCATGTAACATAATGCTAGATATTTTTTATTCGCCTTTAGGTTGTTGCTGTATTTGAGTTTTGACTGGTATTGTTATCTGTTATATCTCCACGCAGTTGAGTTGGATCCTTCAAGTAAGGGGGCCCGAGGGTTAGCATAGCGGCCCTATACCTTTATTGACATCAAGAATATAGTTCTTGTCACATCTTATGTCGGTTTTAAATAAGTTAGAACTTGGATGGTCTATTTACTGGGTTCATTCGCCAAAGTCTTTCTTGAAATACTTACCGTTGACGGTTTACCTGTGTGCTTTGAGACGTTGAGGCATTCACTTCATCCTGTTTAGTTAGCTTGTTTCTCTGTTATGGCTTATTTATTGGTTAATGCTCCTGCATCAGTATGGTGCCATCTTGCGGCACCCTATTTGTAATGTAGCTAGCACTCATAAAATGATTTAATTTATGCAGAACTGTTTAAATTTTGCGATTTTTACTTTTTTTAAAGTCTTCTACAAGTAGTGATATAATAGCATTCTGAATTCTTTTCGTGTCTTGAACCTTTACTCCATGCTGCTTGTGTTTTTGAGAGAATTGGTAAATAAACAAATAAAGGAATCTTAGTAAATTATTTTAGCCTGTATTGGGATTCAATACTTTAATCTCCGACTGTTAGCCAAAAAATGAAATTATAATTCATATTAGAATTTTGTTAATGAATAGTAAATGGCCTTTATTATTGTGTTGCAGCCAATTGAAACTTTCGCACCCGGACCATGTGCTTGTTAAACGGGTATCAGCAGCAGAAGAGAGCTTTGATAGAGCACTGCAATCATTTACTTAATTAGTGAGTTGATGATTTAGTTTCTTTTAGCATTTCAATGTTGTTATGTTCTGCTCATGCAGTCTTAATTGTGGCTGTTAAATGCACTAGTTAGAGCACAATGGGTTTGGTGCCCTGTATCAACCAAATTTCATGGCATTGATTGGTTTTACTTTAAGCTTGATGTTGTAACAACTACTTCTCATATTAATATACAAGAAGTTTCTTTATTTTGGATTTTAATTTGACCTGAAATGTAAGAAATTCCATTTATACAGAAACACGCCATAGTTTGGGTCTCAGCGAGATCATGACCTCATGAGACGAAGAGGCTCTTTTAATTAAATTTAATGTCAAAACATTTCTCTTAGCATTTATAATTTTTCTTTGAAATTCTCTTCGGACATATGATCTGCACATGGATGGGATACATAGAGAATTAGATTAATAGATCAAGCCTTGTTTATTTTTATTTTTCATTTTAGTGGCCAACAAGCATTATTCGATATTATAGAGGTTGACTTGGCCAAAAGAAAAAAAAAAAAATCAGCTAGTGGTGCATGTCAAATGACAATTTATGTTAAAAAATATTAAAAATAAAAAATGTTTTGAAGATCTAACCTTATGGTCGGTATATTTTAAAAATTATAAAATATTTTTTGAAGGTTTAAAATTATTTTAAGATATGTAACTAACGAAATTCTGTTTTACAAACCGACTTAGCAACGTAAGATTTGTTCTAAAAATTCTGTTTCTTCTCAAAAAGCACTGGCCACATGAAGATTTGTATTCTTTGAGATCCTTTCCATCTTCAGGCTTGCTTCCAAACCTGATCCGTACCAGTGGCCGAGCCGGATCTGGGTGGGAGAAAATTCATTCGCATATTAATAATTGAAAAAACAATAATAAAGAATTATTTTATAAATGATAATTGTTTTATAAAATAATATATGTATTTGGGTGTGACGAAATCGTGTACTAAAATTTACTGAACTTTAAGTTTCCAAATTTTAAGTTTGAATTTAGATTAAAAAGTAACATGAAATGGATTTAAAATGTAAAATATTAAAGTAAGAAGGTGCAAAATATAAAAAGAATAGTGTAAAATATGAAAATCTATATTCCTGTGCTTGTAATTTTTTCGGATCAAATGCATGTGCCCCCACCCAAAAAATAAAAAATAAAAAAATAACTGTCTGTAACACTTGTGGAAATAGGATTAAGAATTTTATACCTGGGAGCCACCCAAATATGATCACTCGTATTAAGTAACCATCTAATACCATTATCATTAACATCCTTGCTTGTATTAGAGTTTTATATTAATAAAAAATTAAGATTTATCAGTTACACCAAAATAATATTTTGGAAGAATTGAAGAACTCACCACACACTTAATATAGTTGCGTTTAGGGACGAATCTAAAGTTTCATGGTTGGAGGCCAAACTAAAAATAAAATAAGAAATTGTGGGGAGCGGGGATCTAGTTTAAACCATTTTACAAAAAAATAAAATTTTTACTAAAGGTTGTGTGATCTAGGCGGGATGAACCCCTCCTTGCCTCCTATAGATTTGTCTATGATTGTGATTAATTCTCTAATATTTCTCTTACTAACTTTTCCTTTTGTTCCTTTTTCAATGTCAATGTAAACTTTTTTTTCCAGCCTTCTTCAAGTCCCAAATAGGCCCGGTTCTTATACCATATTATCATATTATACTAATTACGAAGTAAGGATTATCACTTACACCAAAATAATTTATTTTACAAGAACTCACCACACGTCTTTATAATTGTGACTAATTCTCTAATCACTCGATGTAAGATTATTATGCATCTAATAATTCGAAATTGCAGGGAAAGCTCTGATTTGTTGAACCACAGAATGAGACAGATAATTATTGAGGTTATCAAGATTCCATTGGCCATTAGAGTTTACCATCTCACTTTCTTTCACAATGGCTAGCTCAACTGGAAGAGAGCCTTCAGCCCTTCACTATGTAGCCGCTTGTCTTTCTAGAAAAAAGTAATATAACCATCACGAATATCTTTGCCAATATGACACACAACTTTCAGCCACAAATCCTCCTCACTCTTCCGCAAATTAGAGTCCCAATTCTTGCTAATTGCATACTGAAGCCAATTTGCTTCCCTACAGTATTTCCCTTTTTGATTATTCTAGCACAAAAACTGTTTGAATTTTCAAGAAAGCACCAATTTCATATCATAAACATAAAAGTTCATAATCGCAAATACAATCATATATTAAAATTAAACTCCTGATTACCCACCTCTTTGACTACCACCCCAAAGTATGAATTTAGATTTCCAAGGGAGCTTTCCAACAACTTCAAATGCTCCAAGAGTAGTCAATCTACATATTGGATTAACAAATATCATTAATGATTAATTATCATTAATTAGCCCTTAATCATGATTAACACCTAATACCTTCCATTAATGATATTAGCTATAAACAACCCCATTTTTAGCTTCCATTAACGTATTTAACCTTCATTAAGTTTAACTAACATTGTTAAACCATTTCATTAGCTTAGTCTAGCTTATTTAATACTAGGGTTAACTCTAAACTTGTCATTAACACCCATAACCACCGCTATTAGCATAAACCTAATATTAGAAACATAAAACAACACCTTTAGCCTCCATTAGAGTCATTAGAGTGGAGTAACTTGGCTGCCATTTTTGGACAGCAGCTTCCATACCCAAAACCCCCATGAAAATGCAAGAAGAATGGAGGAGAAGGGAAAAAGAACCTTACCTAAGGGTTGATTGCTCCAATAAGCTTCTCTTGAATGGAAATGCAAGCCCTAGCAAAGAGGAGGTGCTCCTCTCATAGTTACTCACTCAACTTTCCCTTCTGTTATGTTTGTTACACATTTTTGGTGATTTAAAATTTAATGTATCTGTCGCAGTGCATAGAGCAATCTACCATAGCAAATTGCCTAAAATAGAAACCCTACTAAAGCCCAATAATTTGGACTCAAAGAGGCCGAATAGCTTCCCAAGCCCTATTCCATGGACCATATAGGGTTTAATAGACCTAAATAGCCATCCAATTAAACTTTCTAATTAATTCAATTCTCAATTTTCATTATTAATTAATTAAGCTTCTCACTTAATTTAATCACTTTTTGAATTAAATTTTGAGATGTTACAACTCTCTGCTCTTATAAGAATTTTGTCCCAAAAATTGGACAAACTCAATAATTAATAAATCACAAGTATTAGATAAATCAATCAAAATAGCCACTAATCAATTATTCAAGCAATAAACACTCAATCAAACAGAACAACATATCAATCAATCACTTAATCATACCTATGCAAACAAATGTGAATATTGCTAATGTATCTTCTTCTTGGTTTCCCAAGTGGCATCTTTAGGTCATCTCATGTCTTTTCACACCACTTTCACTAATTAAATTATCTTATTCCTCAGTCTCTTCTCCTTAGTGCCCATAATTTACCCTGGCTCAATCCAATATATGAGATTCTCATGAAGCTCTATGTCTTCTAGCTTAATGATGTGCAATAGATTAGGATGATACTTCTTCAATAGAGAGATGTGAAACACATCATGCATACTCGATAGGTGAGGTGGTGAGCGATCCTTCAACTAGCCTATACTTGTCTAAAATCTCAAATGGGCTGATAAACCTCAAGGTCATCTTCTTTGCATAAATGGACTATCCAATTCAAGTCATTAGTGTCACTCTTAGGAAGACATGGTCCCCAACCATGAACTCTAGTGGTCTATGCTTTTTATCTACATAGTTTTTATGTTGACTCTGGGCAGTCAATAACAAATTGAAACGGAGAGGAATGAGATTGCAACAATGGAATGGTGAGGCTAATAGAGAGAAGGACACATGTAAAGTTACCTTACCTCATCTTTAAACAATAAAAACAATATCAAAAATTGAGAAAAATTGAATCAATTTTTTTTCGTTTTCAAAAGCAAAAAAATAAAAAATTGTTTGGTTAAGTGTTTTGGATTTAAGTATTTCCAAAACCATTCTCATTTTTTATCTTTAAAAAAATAAAAATGGAAATAACTTGGAATTTTTTTTGTTTTCTTTTTTATTTTTAAAGTATAATATATTTGACTATTGTAAATTATCTTCAAATATGGTCAACTATTATTATAGGCCATCATCATTAACTATTATTCACCACCATTATCAATTTTTTTAACTCTAAAATTACTTTCAAATTGACATAATGAAATGAATTTTTATTCTGTTTTGTTTTCAAAAACATTTTTTAAAAATTAGTTTATTTTTTTAAAAAAATATAGCACAAAACCAAACAGGTTCTAAGTGTCAAAAGTTCTAGAACAAGGGATAATTTTATTTACTCCTTCCATTCAATATTATAAGGCACTTTGACCCAAATTACACCTCCAATGAATTAATTAATTAATTGTTTCATGTTTATCCTTATTTGATAGGGTGGCTCAATTAGAAAACTTATTGATTATATTGTTAATACAATAAATGAAAGTGTAAAATATGTCCAAAGTTAAATATGGAAGAATTTGTGGAGATAATAAATCATCAAGTGAAATGGATACTAATTAAGAAAAAAAAGTATTCCTCACAAAAAACTTGTAGAATAAATAAAGGGTTAAGGTATAATTTTGCAAATAAACTATTTTCAGAAGAGCAATATTGCCCCTAAAACTATTCATCGTAGCAATGTCGTCCCTAAATTAATTAAATCAGAGCAATGTTGCCCTCATTGTTTAAAAATCAAAAACGTCTGTTAGCTGAAGCCAGTAGGATCCACTTTTCATTATCTCTCTCTACTCTCTGCTTTCTCTTCTCTCTCTTACTTGATTGATTTGTTCCACATGGAGAAGGAAAACAAGAACCTCTTTAATAGCTTTTAGAGTAGCATAGAAAGCATGTTCATGACCAAGGTGCACAAGACAATGGTATCCTTTACAATGATCATAGAATGCAGGGTAAGAAGTAAACCCTTAGCTATTTTGTCTAATAGTGCAAGCATATGATAGAGCACTTCCATGTCCATTAACATTGTCTATCTCTCTTCACTTTTCATAATATTCATGTTTGTCTTGCTAAAATTAGTAGCTTTCATGGCGGCGAATGTTAGAAGGAGAAGAAGAGGGGGTGAAAAGAAGAAGAGTAGTAAAATTAGGGAAGTTGAAAAGGGTAAAAGATTCTCTGAGAGAGAGGACAGCAACTTTGTAGGTAGT